TGTAACATTCTCATAGCGATGTGCCAGGGAAATGAATTGGTGAATAAATTAATCAAATGAAAACAAAAAAAGGGGATCACAATCATAAACAGACAAAGACATTTCACTTAACCACACCTGACTAATAGTTTTTCCCATTAAATGAGGCAGCAGTTCTCAATATGTGGTCCAAGGACCTCTGAGGTCCCCCAAACCTTAGGGGGTCTGTGAGGCCTATATTATTCTCATAATAATGCTAAGAGATTAGTCACTGTTTCTTCATTCTCATGGTGTCATGAGTGTACATTGGAGTTTTTCGGAAGCTATGTGATATTTATCATGGCAGAGAATACAGAAGTATCTGTGAGAATTTAAATAGTTTCCAGGGAGCCAAATGTTAAAGAAATTTGCAAAAACAAGTGGTTGGGTGTGATGGCTCATGCTTTTAATTCTAGCACTTTGGGAGGCTGAGGTGGGTGGATCACTTGAGCCCCGGAGTTCAAAACCAGCCTGGGCAACATGGCAAAACCCTGTCTTCACAAAAAATAGAAAAATTAGCCAGATGTGTTGGCACGCACCTGTAATCCCAGCTACTTGGCAGGCTGAACCAAGAGTTGAGGCTGCAGTGAGTTGTGATTATGCCAGTGCACTGCAGCCTGGGTGACAGAGTAAGACGCTGTCTCAGACAGACAGACAGACAGACAGACAGACACAGACAGACACACACACACGTAAGACAATGTCAGTTTTGGGAAAGATTTTCTTATAAACAATATGCCATTTATGTTAGCATGTAAAGAGTTTAGTGTTATTTTTAAGTCATTTAATAAATAATTTCATTTCACATGTGGTAAATATCAATAGATAAAACATATCTGTATTAGTCTGTTCTCACATTGCTACAAAGAAATATCTGAGACTGGGGAATTTATAAAGAAAAGAGGTTGAATTGGTTCACGGTTCTGCAGGCTGTACAGAAAGCGTGGCACCTTCTGCTTCTGGGGAGGCCTCAGGAAGCTTCCAATCATGGTGGAAGGTGAAGGGGGAGCAGATTTCTCCCATGTGGGAACAGGAGCAAGAGAGAACAGGGGGAGGTACTACACACTTTTAAATGACCAGATCTCTCCAGAACTCACTCCCTATCATGCAGACAGTACCACAGGAGTTGGTGTTAAACCATTCACAAGAAATCTTCCCACATGATACAATCACCTCCCACAAGGTCCCCCCTCCAACATTGGAGCTTACATTTCAATATGAGATTTTGATGGGAACACACATCCAAACTATATCTAAACCAAATTTCCTTTGGGTAGGGGGGGGGGCTCAATAATTTTTAAGAGTGTAAAGAGATCCTGAGACCAAAAAGCTTGAGAACCACTGGAATGGAACCTGGAAATTAATCCTGAAAACCCCACTGTAGTTACTCTGTATATTGTGTAGCTATGTCACTTGTGTATTAGTATTATGGGCTTATTAAAGTACATATAGTTCATGCCAAGTATAGTGTGGGTTAAGCTATTTTTGTTATCCCTTCGATTTTACTCACAACAAATGCTTACTGGCCATCTACTTCACGGGGGCCACCACGTTAGGTTTTAGGGGTAAAACCATAGCTCACAGAATGGAAATAGCAGGTAAGATAACAGGCCATCTCTAAAGAATGTGATGAGAGCCACAACAGGACAACTATGTGCTGTGTCAGAATGAGGGTGGGCGCCTCTTCCAGGCAAGGGAAGACAGTGTCAGAGAGGTTTCCCAGAGGAGGCAGCATCTGCCCTCTGACCTGAAAGATGAGAGGAACTAACCAGGTTCTGACCAAGAGAGGGCAGTTCAGGGAGACGGAACAGCACAGAAGAAACAGAACTCTGAGGCATCCTTGTCTGAATCTCCTGAGTGTAGAGAGAGAAATCTACCTGCTGATTTCAGGAGGGGTGGATTGCTGCAAGAATTCATGGAGCTCATTTTGATGAATTTTGAACATACCCTCAGGGGAGCTGTTCCTTTCACAAGGTTTACCTTCTAGCTCTTCGACTTCATAAGTGGACTGTGGGTCAGCTGCAGTGATTCATGCCTGTAACCCCAGCACTTTAGGAGGCCGAGGTGGGAGGATTGCTTGAGTCCAGCAGTTCAAGACCAGCCTGGGCAAAATAGTGAGACCCTGTCTCTATACTTTAAAAATGCTATTTAAAAAAGTGGATTGTGAAGGCTATGCAGGACTAACAAATGTCCAAGACTGCATGGAGCACATTTGACTGACCAGCGGGCAAAGACTCACTGATGGTAAGACAGAGACCACACGGACAGCAGAACCTGCTCCTCTGCCTGCCATGGCACACAGGGACGCAGTCACATTGGCCCACGCTTGTGTCATGTGTGTCTTGATAAAGAGCCACTATTCGCAGAGCTTCCATGTAATCGTGCTTTTGCACAGACCACTGAAAGCATCCGTTTTCTAACTGGATGGCCAAACACTACCACATGACAGAACAGGGCTGCACTGCCTCGGAGGGAATACAGGCATCAGGAACCCAGTTAGGGTGCTAGTGCTGTGCTTCCAGAACGGGGCTAGGGCAGCCTATGTGCTTCCTTCCTAACCCCAGCCTGGACTGTTCCAAGCAACCGGGCAAACTGGGGTGAAGCAAATGGAAATGAAGGAAGAGAAGAGTTCAACCATGGTGTTTTTCTAATGAAGACCCTCTCTTTTGTTAACGTCAAGACAAATGAAAGCCACTTAGTGTAGGAATCAAAGGAAGATACAAAATTATTTCGTATGCCTGCTCAAAGCCAATCTAAGGATACAGTCACTCTAGATAGCACTGCTTACCTACTATATATATATATATATATATATATATATATATATATGTTATATATAATAAATAATATGTACATTACATATAATATTTATTTCTTTATCATAATTATTTTTTTAAAGACGAGGTCTTGCTCTGTTGCCCAGGCTAAAAGCAGTGGTACAATCACAGCTCACTGGGCTCAAGCCATCCTCCCACCTCCCACCTAGCTTCCTGAGTAGGAGGACTACAGGCATGCACCTCCAGGCCTGGCTAACCTTCTTTATTTTATGTAAAAATGGGGCTTCACTATGTTGCTCAGGAGAGTCTCGAACTCTTGGGCTCGAGCGATCCTCCCATCTCAGCCTCCCAAAGCACTGGGATTACAGGCATGAGCTGCCACACCCAGCGTGTTTACATATACTTACTGATTGTACCTCTTTACTGCTAGTTCTTTGACTTTTTGCCCTACACTTCTAACAGGTCAGAAAGTAACTTTTATTGGAAAATAGTAATAGACAAGCATGTAACAAAACCCTTCTAGCTATAAAGTATTTAAATTTTCACAAAATGACGGCCGTCAACTCTACCTTCTCCCACTCTCCCTTTTCTGTGCAATCACAAATCCTGGTCTGGAAAAATGCAGGACAGCAAGAAACAAAGGAAGCTCAAATAGCAACAAGAAAGCCAATAGCAGAATGCCTTGCAGGGGCAGGGAGAAGGTGGAGAAATAGTGGCCTTGATGGGTCCAAAGCAGGTGTGCAATGTCGATCACTCGAAGAACATCAAGCCCACTCCCTCTATTGAAATCTTGAGCTCTACACTAGTCTAAGCATCCTGAAGGCTCTGCTGTCCTGGGGTTTGTGGTGCAGGCTCTTGCTGCTTGGCAACAAGCCTGGGGCTCAACAAACTTCTAAACCACAAAATAAAACGTGATTGGTTCCCCTGTGAGCGATACAATAGCACCCGTTAAAGGCTTACAGTTAAAATAAAGAGGCACAGTCATTCAAAGAGTATGGGATCTGCTCCTAGTATAGGCACAAATTCACTGATTGAGTAGTTTAATTTCTTCTCTATTGCTGCTAACAAACAACGTAACATTGGCTTTCCACTCTATAAAAACGCTTTCAATTTTAATGACAATATGCACATTTAGTTGTTTGTTTTCCAAAGCAAAGCCTGAACTTTGGAGGAATGACAGAAGACAGTGGGGATGGGGTAGAAGAAATTCACCAAGTAGGCTCAAGTAATGGAAACTATTTTTATATGCCAGGTATTTAAAAGTGAGGGCTCAAAATAACATATTTGTTAACACATGGTTTTTTGAATTGCCAACCATAATTTTTTTTGTTGCCTGCATTCCCAAGTTGGTTTCATAGAAGGCTTTATTGTAATCCAGGAGAATTGTTTTGCATTCATTTCTATGACAAGGAACCCAAAACACAGGGTGCTGAGAGTAACAAAACAGAGTTAGGGAAACAGTCATGACTTGGCACAAAGTGTGACAAGCTGTAAAAGAGCGAATGTTTCAATATCTGAAGTGGTGTTGATTTCCTATGAGCAACCTTTTCTCTTCCAAACAGTATCATATTCTTTTCAAGCACATTTAGAACGCAAGTCAAGCTGTGTTTTATTTTTTATTATAATAAACACAGTCAGTTTCCCGTAACAAAGACATACTAGTGGTAATCAGCTGAAAGGCAAGTACGCCACCATAAGCTGGGCGGGGGGCTGCCGTGGGGGGGCCAGGGGCTGGGTAGTCAACTGATAAAAGACCAGCCGTCTGGAAAGTTCTCTTAAAAGAACATAAAAAGGCAGTGTTTTCTTATGAGACTAAGACAGAATGCCAAAATATCTAGCTGGGCTCTTTTTTTTATTATCACTTACGGCAATTTGTAACTCAAAATAGCATTTTCTTCAAAATATTGTGCTCTCATATTTGTAGTTTTAAACCTCCATAATAAAATGCAGAAATTTTATACATGGGTTTAAATGGTAACACTATTTCTTACACAAGACTCTAGTAAGCATATTTACTGCTGCACTACTCTAACTGCTTTCTTTAAAATGGCCATTTACAAATGTTTATAATTATGCCTGTACTTAGATTTTTGATAAAGGTGAAATGAGTCATTCACAGGAAATGATCACAAAGTTTATAAAACTTTCATTGTTAAATTAAGTTCCTGAATTCAAATTTGTAGGAAATAATGTAAATCATCTTACCATATCTTGAACTAATGATTTTTCATAATCAAGCTCTTCTCTTAATCTGTCTCTACTATTCATTAACTGAAATAGAGAAGAAATTACATTTTGATTAAAGAATGGAACACCTGAAATCTCTCCTTAAAAGAATTCAGTGAAACATATTTTAATATGAGAAAAATGGATCTCAATCTGATCAAAAGAATATTAAATTTTGAAGAATTATCATCTTGTAATATATTACACAATTATTATATAAACAAGTAAAATATACACAGAAAATACCAATTTATTTATACCTTTCTTCACCCCATGCCATCAAAATGTAACATCACAATAAAGCAAGTCCTATTCTATCAAAAAGAACAATTTTGCTTAATGCTTTATATGACCCATCTCTTATTTTAGGGTTTGTGCTCTATATATGTGCATATCAAACCACATTTATGCCAATTGAAAATAGCCATCAGAAGCACACACTGGGCTGAGTACAGTGCCTCACACCTGTAATCCCAGTGCTTTGAAAGGTTGAGGCAGGAGGACTTCTTGAGGCCAACAGTTTGAGACCAACCTGGTCTTAAACAGTGAGATCGGGTCTCCATAAATTTTTTTTTTTTTTTTACACCGGACACAGTGGCTCACACCTGTAATTCCAGCACTTTGGAAGGCTGAGGCAGGTGGATCACCTGAAGTCAGGAGTTCAAGACCAGCTTGATCCACATGGTGAAACCCCATTCCTACTAAAAATACAAAACTTAGCTGGGCATGATGGTGAATGCCTATAATTCAAGCTACTTCGGAGGCTGAAGTAGGAGGATTGCTTGAGCCCAGGAATTTAAGGCTGCCATGAGCTATGGTCGCACCACTGCACTCCAGCCTAGAACAAGACCCTATCTCCAAACAAACAAACAAACAAACCATTTATTTGTGTGAGCTAGAAATTAAAACAATTGAACTCATGGAGATAGAGAGCAGAAAGATGGTTTCCAGACGCTGGGAAGGGTTGTGAGGAGTGGGGTAGTAAGGATGGTTAATGGTACAAAAAAATGGCTAGAAAGAATGAATGAGACCTAGTATTTGATGGCACAACAGGGCAGCTATAGTTGATAATAATTGTACATTTAAAAATAACTAAAAGAGCATAAATGGATTGTTTGTAATACAAAGGATAAATGTTTGAGGCGATGGATACCCTACTTACCCTCATTCATACTGTATGCCTGTATCAAAATATTTCATATACCCCATAAATATATATACCTACCAGGTACCCACAAAAATTAAAAGTTTAAAAAAAAACACAAAGACCCCACAGACTGCAGGGCCCTTGTCCCCTTGTGCCTCAGTTTTTACATTGATCAGTTGCTGTCTGTGTGTGTTATAGGCTGGTAGAGTTCAACCTTTCATTTTGATATGCATTTAATGTAATTAATTCATGTCTGTGTTAATTTAATAAACACCTCAGTGTCACTGTTCTTGTTTCAGTACTTCACTGTTTACCTGGTTTATCCAAGCAATGCCTTCACTGGACCTGGTTCTGGGCTTTCCTCCCTCTCATTCATTTTCTCTCTGAAACACAAATCTGATCCTCCCACAGTGTTCAGGGCTCTCCAATGCACTCAGAAGGTTATTCAAACCTGTCTGCATGAACAATAATCTTCTGCCACAGTCCTGTGCCCTTTGCCATGCCTTGTTCTCATGTGCTCTTCAGCTACAGCAAACCACACACCCTTTCCTATACAAGGTGCTTTTGCGTGGTACTCAGAATACCCATCCCAACTCTCCCGCATCCCTTTCCTAGCTATCTCTAACTGCTCTTCTCAGGGCCAATGCAGTAGCCTTCCTCCAACCTTCCCTGATCCCATACAGCGCTGGCTGGGTGTGCCTCCTGGGTGCTGCACAGCAAACTCTGCTTCTCTGCGTCCTGACGCTATCACACCCGTACCGTGCTCTCTGACTCTGGGTCTGCCTCCTTCCCTGAGTTAAATTCATAAGAACAGATTCTACTGTGGCAGCAGCTGAAAGACAGACACAGATACAGATGGCATTTGATTCCTAGAATTAAAACACAAAAGCTATGAGTTCTATAACTGACCATGTTTAGCTCAGATCGACGGCAAGAGGTCAGCCTTCTCAAATTCAGTCCAATTTCAGCCTGTTTTTAAGTGCACCCAGGGCTTTAAAAAAAAAAAGCCAGGGGGGACATGTGGTTATCTGAAGTCTTCTGAGTTGCTCCTTTCCATTGTTCCATATCCTGTTTATGCTCCCTTCCCCACAGTCCTGGCCTGTCCTCTCTTTCTGCCCCACTGCAGATTCTTCCCATATAGTCTCAACAGACTCCTACCGCATTCTCGAGCCACACATAGTCATAAGCAAGATTCCACAAACCTATGTCAGGCTTTATGTCTTTATACTCTGTACCTAGCTCTTCTACTCTCTTGCTTGCCTGGAAAAATCAGCTCCAAAGCCCAGCATGGTGGCTCAGGCGTATGATCTCAGCATTTAGGGAGGCTGAGGTGGGAAGATACCTTAAGCCCAGGAGTTCGAGACCAGTCTAAGCAACATAGTGAGGGACAATCTCCACACACGCACAAAAAAAAAAAAAAAAATTAGGCAGGTGTGGTGTATGCCTGTAGTCCCAGCTACTCAGGACACTGACGTGGGAGAACTGCTTGAGCCCAGGAGGTCAAGGCTGCAGTGAACCATGGTCATGCCACTGTACTCCATCCTAGGCAACAGAGCAAGACCCTATCTATAAAAAACCCCAAATAACCAAACAGGCACACAAGCAAAAAAACCCAAAACAAGCAGTTCCAGTGAGCCTCAATAAAAGAGTGTGAGAAAGGTTGTGAAACTGCTTGTGAAGCTTTTCTAGAACCTTCCAGATGAAGCTGGGTATCTCTTCTCTAGCACACACTTCTCTTATAGTCCCTATCCCACTGCCCTATGGCTTTGGTCTATCCCTATAGACTTCACCCCGTCCCCAGAAGGGACCATATGTGTATACATGCATTTTATTTTTTTCTAGCAGTAGCACAGTGCCTAGCACTTAAAGGCAACTAATAAACACTGCTGAACTAATTGATTTAGGGCAGGATATTGGGAAAAAAACCGAGCAAATATCAGCTGTCATTTGTTCAGCAACATCTGAACTGCTTCCCAGTTGACAAAGCACACCGACATTCATTATCTCATTGAGTCCACATGGCATGCCTGGGAAAAACAGGAAGAAGAGAGACAGGCACTGGCCCCAGGGGAATTAGGGGCAGAAATGGAACAGGAATCCAGGGTTCTAGATTCTTTCTGCTCAGTACCAAAATATTCCTATACTCAATGTCTATCATAAGTTCCAGTGCATATAAGGAAAAAAAGAAGAGAAAGAATTAAAACAATAAGCAGATTAGAAGTCTGCTATACTATATCATATGTTATATATATATTACATTAAATATAATGTAATATATATCACATTAGATATGTTATATGTTACATTATATGCCATATAAATTACATTATATATAATGGAGCTATCAGATAGAAACATAATGTGAGTTACATATATAATTTTGAATTTTATAGTAGCCGTGTTAAAAAGGCAAAAGGTAAAAGCAATTTTAATAATGTGTTTTTCTTATCCCTATATATTCAAAATATTATCATTTCAATATATAATCAATGTAAAAAATTATTAGTGAGACATTTCACATTTTTTATACCAAGTCTTTGAAATCCAGTGTGTATTTTTCACTTACAGCACATCTCAATTGGGGAGCTAAGTTTTCATTGGAAAAACTTTATTTGTATTCAGATTTCATAAAATTTACAAATGAAAAAGTAGAGCCACATATCCAAGTTAACAAAAATAGATGAAAAGGTTTTCCAAGAGCTAAAACAAGTATAAGTTTTTAAATTTGAATTTAAATAATTTGGAATTAAATTATTGAAAACTTAGTTCCTCAGTTGCACTGGCTACATTTCAAGTGCTCAATAGCCACGTGTGACCAGAGGCCATCATGGCACAGTGCAGATCTAGAAAGCTGAGGCAGCACTTAACTGAAATAGTTAAACTCTCAGGGGGTATAGCCAGCCATCAATTGGTGGCTTACAAGTGAGAATTTTTTTCTTTGCTTTGTTATTGGACCCCTTATAGAAAGCAGGAAGTGCATCCTACTCATTTCTACCAGTGGTAGTACAGACTGAAGAGCTTGAGGAACATTTTCAGTAAAGAATTGGGCCCAGTGCAGTGGCTCACACCTGCAATCCTAACACTTTGGGAGGACAAGGTAGGACGATCAGGTGAGGCCAGGAGTTTGAAACCAGCCTAGGCAATAAAGTGAGACCCTGTTTCTACAAAAACAAAAAATAAAAAACTAGCCAAGTGTGGTGGTATTCCTCTTTAGTCCCAGCTACTCTAAGAGCTGAGATGGAAGGATTGCTTGACCCTGGATGTTTGAGGCTGCAAGTGGGATATGATTGCACCACAGCACTCCCCCTTGGGGACTGTGTGAGACTGAGGGAAGGAAGGAAGGGGAAGGCAAAGGGGAAGAGGAAAGGGAAAGGAAGGAAGAAAAAAGGAAGGAAAAGACTGGTGATGATTCCCTGATTGGTTATTAAGTGAAACTAGAAGGCTGAGATTTCATTTCTGACCTTAGAGGTTGATGCCAAGAAGGTTACACGGAATTCACATTATCATCATTGCAAATAGGGTGAAGCCCCAGAAAATTAACCCCCCTTGTGAAAATCTGTGAGGGATTCAGTTATCAGAGAAACATCTCTCACCTCTGACCCATCAGGGTAACCATTTCTTTGAAAAATACTTCTTAGAAGTAGTTTTATCTAAAACCTAAGAATATCTTGAATGAGGGAATAAAAGAGGACAAAAACAAATGGAAAAACATTCCATCTTCATGGATAGGAAGAATCAATATCATGAAAATAGCCATACTGCTCAAAGTAATTTATAGATTCAGCACTATTCCCATCAAACTACCATTGACATTCTTCACAGAATTAGAAAAAAACTATTTAAAATTTCATATGGAATCAAAGAAGACCCTGTATAGCTAAGACAATCGTAAGCAAAAAAGAAAAAAGCTGGAGGCATCACAATACCTGATTTCAAACTATACTACAAGGCTACAGTAACCAAAACAGCATGGTACTGGTACCAAAACAGACATATAGACCAATGAAGCAGAACAGAGAACTCATAAATAACACCACACATATACAACTATCTGATCTTCAACAAAGATAGTCAAAGCAACTATTTCCTGGCAAAAACAAGCAACGGAGAAGGATTGCCTATTCAGTAAATGGTGCTGGGAGAACTGGCTAGCCATATGCACAAAACTGAAACTGGACCCCTTTCTTACACCTTAGACAAAAATTAACTCAACACATAAATGTAAAACTCAAAACCATAAAGACCCTAGAAGAAAACCTAGGCAATACCATTCAGGACATATGGGTGGGCAAAAACTTCATGACTAAAACACCAAAAGCAATGGCAACAAAAGCCAAAATTGACAAATGGCCTCTAATTAAACTAAAGAGCTTCTGCACAGCAAAAGAAACTATCATCAGAGTGAACAGGTAACCTACAGAATGTGAGAAAATCTTTGCAATCTACCCATCTGACAAAGGTCTAATATCCAGAATTTACAAGGAACTTAAACAAGTTTACAAGAAAGAAACTAACAATCCCATCAAAAAGTGGGCAAAGGATATGAACAGACACTTCTCTAAAGAAGACATTTACTTGGCCAACAAACATGAAAAAAAGCTTAATATCACTGGTTATCAGAGAAACGCAAATCAAAAACCACAATGAGACCCTATCTCACACCAGTCAGAATGACGATCATTAAAAAGTCAGGAAACAATACATGACAGTGAGGCTGTAGTGAAATAGGAGCACTTTTACATTGTTGGTGGGAATGCAAATTAATTCAACCATTGTGGAAGATAGTATGGTCAATCTTCCCTGCCCTACTGGAGGTTCCATGAAGGCAATTCTCAAGGATCTAGAAGCAGAAATATCATTTGACCCAGCAATCCTATTACGGGATATATACACGAAGGAATATAAATCATTCTACCATCAGGACACATGCACACATATGTTTAATGAAGCATTATCCATGGTAGCAAAGACATGGAACCAACCCAAATGCCCATCAGTGATAGACTTGATAAAGAAAACGTGATACATATACACCATGGAATACTATGCAGCCATAAAAAGGAATGAGATCCTGTCTTTGTAGGGACATAGATGAAACTGGAAGCTGTCATCCTCAACAAATAAGGAACAGAAAACCAAACACCACATGTTCTCACTCATAAGTGGGAGTTGAACATTGACAATACATGGACACAGATTGGGGAACAACACACACCAGGGCCTGTTGGGGCATGGGGGTTGAGGGGAGGGAACTTAGAGGATGGGTCAATAGGTGCAGCAAACCACCTTGGCACATGTATACCTATGTAACAAACCTGCACGTTCTGCACATGTATCCCATTTTTTTTTAAAGAAATAAAGGACAACTATATATATTTTTTGAGACAGAGTCTTGTTCTGTCACCAGGCACCAGGCTGGAGTGCAGTGGCACAATCTCAGCTCACTGCAACCTCTGCCTCCCGGGTTCAACCAATTTTCCTGTCTCAGCCTCATGAGTGGCTGGGACTACAGGTGTGTGCCACCATGCCAGCTAATTTTTGTATTTTTTAGTAGAGATCGGGTTTCACCATGTTGGCCAGAATGGCCTCCATCTCTTGAACTCGTGATTCGCCTGCCTCGGCCTCCCAAAGTGCTGGGACTACAGGCGTGAGCCGCCACGACCGCCCAGGACAAATATTTTAAAAAAATAAATACAAAGAATATCTTGAACAGCAATATCAGACCTGGTTGAAATCTGAACCTAAACTTAGGCACATGTGGTGGTTGAGCTCTTCAAATGTGGCCAGCGCAACTGAGGAACGGAATTCTTAATTTTGTCTAACTTGAATTCATTTTAACTGAAAAATGGGTGCTCGGTTCAGTTACTGGAAGACATTTATGCTTATTTGGAATAATTTGGGGATGTGAATCTGTTTATATATAAATTATATGCACTGTAAATGCATTCTTATTCTATTAATCTCTTGGAATACTTTTCAGTGCATATTTTTCACTGTACTCCCCACTAAGAGACCAGATAGTGCAGTTTCCACCTTCGTGGAGCCTCCAGCAGGGAAGGGAAGATTGACCATAACAGAAAGGCAATTGAGAGCCACAAAAGGGAGGTTTATGGATAAACGAGAACAGAATAGGGAGCCCTACATGTGCAGGGAGAGCAGGAATTGCTGAGATCCTGCTGCATTCAATTCAATGCACTAGGAAATCTTCTTGTTGTGAGGGTTGGTGATGTATGTGTATGTGTGGTTGAGACAGGGTCTCAATATGTTGTCTAGGCTGGAGTACAGTGGTGAAATTCTAGCTCACTGCAGCCCTGAACTTCTGAGCCTAAGGAATTCTCCTACTTCAGCCTCCTGAGTAGCTGGGACTATAGATGTGCACCGCTACACCTGGGTAATTTTTTTTTATTTTTATAGAGGTGGGGTCTCACTATGTTTTCCAGGCTGGCCTTGAACCCCTGGGCTCAGGAGATCCTCCCACTTTGGCCTCCAAAGCTGCTAGGATTACAGGGGTGAGCCACTGAGCCCCACCTAGGAAAGCTTGATTTTTGTTCTGCCAAAAGAATTCCCTGCTCTAAATATTTACCAGATAACATACACCCAGCTCATTCATGAACATCAACCAGCATCTGATCTGAAAACAAGACTGTTTTTAATATAATTTTTTCCATAACTGCAAGCTCATCTTCAGGCTTCCCAGTGTCATGTAACTTTCTGGTGCCTTAAAATCAATAAGGCAGATGGTCAGTGATCCCTAACAAAAGAAGTATCTATACATCCATGAGTTTTCAAGATGGAGTCCTTATTTGCTTCTGGTCACCCTGCCCAAATAGTGGGGAGAGGTTAAGCCTGTGAATCGACTTTCCTCTCTGTGATAAGACTCTCCGGACACAGTGTTATTTGGCCAATTGCGCCTGTAGTTCCATTTAAAAGAGTCATTTAACAACGTAAAAATGTTACAGTACCTTTTGAATAGTTTTGTGATCCTTTTCTGCCATCTCTTTCATACTTATCAGTTCATCTTCTGTAAACAAAAGGAGAGAGAGGCCAACCATGAAATTACACGCTTATGCCCCTGTATTCAAACGGCCTGCCTCAGGGCAGGCTGTGGGCCACTCACAGGCATGGTGGACGCAAGGCCTAGCAGGACTGTGACCTTCACAACTGCCCTTGACATTCACAGCCTTCTTCCTGCTGTTCAGATGGCTGGTCAGATAGGGATTAAGAAGTAAGTTCAAGATCCAAGTGTGGCTGAGGGCTGAAAGCTTTTCATCAATACTAGCGATGGACATTTTTGCTGTTAGTCACAGCCAATACAAAGAGCTTTAGCAGGTGGCAGTTTATGACTTAATAAGAACGACCCCAAACTAAAAAGCCTCGCTATGCCATGGCAGAAGAGAACGAGACCGTACTAGCATGGTAGAATTTCATATCCAAGGGATACTATTAATATATCTCATTTTATTGATATTTTGCTATAATTCGTTATATTGCCTGCTCATTGCTTTGAATACTGTAGATTAAGGAAAACATCATATAATGAAGATAATCACATGAATGACAGTTACATGAAAAAACACATTAAAGCAATAAACTTTGGTGATTTTTTTTCCCCTTTTCCATATGTTCTAACAACTTTGGTGATTTAAACACAACTTTCACCAATGTTTATGGTATGAAAGAAAAGGGGTGTAAAGTATACAAATGAAATTGTATATTTAAGTTTTGTTCAAGAATCAAAATAACTAGTAAGTAGTAGCATATTTTCCTGAAGGGCTAACTCTGTTTTTTTCTACAAAGCATATCCCTATGTATTCTTAAATACTTAAATGTTATCAAGTTTAGATAATCAGTTAAGCATCTGAAACAAAGCAGCAAAAGTTTCTATCTGGTTATAATATTTCTAAGTGAAATGGAGTGTTGATTAGCAAATTTTTGCAAAGGCCAATATCTGTCTCGAAACAACACCCTGAGTTAACATGAAATGCTCACAGTAGAACTACAAACACATCCTCCGTCCCAAGCAAGAAATGCTATCCATCATGAAAACCAAAGATGGCTATGAAATTGATCTTTCAAATGTAAATAACCAAACAAATGTATGGAAAAGAGAAACATACTTATGAGCTTTATGAAGTGATCAATATGTAGATTTTTCTTAAAAGTGATTTCAAAATGTTACCTAATCCTGAATTTTCTTTTAGATTGATCTGGATTTCTTCTTCAAGCTCTGAAATGATCTGAAGCAGTCTCTCATTTTCCACTTTGTACTCCAAATTTTCCTTTTCTAGGTTTGATTTTGGAGAGCTGGTTTCTTTGGCAAAAGACTCCTGCAAGATGGGGAATGCCATATTCCTAAGCAGGGAGCCAATGATTTAAATATGCAAGACAAGGACAATACAGATACAGAAAAGCTATCATATAATTTTCTGAATTCTATTACACACTTATAATACGAATAGTAAGAAGGAAGGAGCCTAAACAGAGCTTGCTGGAAGAAAGGCTCCAGTACATTCTGTACAAAGACCTCAGCACATGGGGACATTTTATTGACAGGAATAATGCATATCATACTGTTTGTGTGCCCTCATCATTCAGGTCAATTCATTATGGAGGCTGTGTCCGGGGAGGCAGCTGGGGCCCCTCCACCCACACTTCCCTCTGTGTGTGTCTGAAGTGCTGTCCGCCTGTAACTAGGCAGGCTGAGGGGACCAGGACGGGCAGCGCCAGGGGGTGGCAGAGTGCATGGCTAAGGAGGGGGGCTTGTTGCCTTTGTGGCATTTCCCAGTGTCAGTGCTGCCAGTGTCATGAGGAGCACATCACATGTCAAAGTGGTGACGTTTTCAGGCTGGGAGCCGCATGGAGTCCATCAGGCACACGGATATCCACACAGTTGGTTTTCTGCTTGGTGGAGGAGCCACCCAGAGGCAATTCATATTCTGAACATTAACATGGCTTTGCATGCTTGTCACACGGGGTCTGTGCAGGCGTTTAATGCTATTGAAGACTTCAGTTTAAATCTCTATGCAAACAGTGATTACCTTGTAAGAAGGTTTCAGGATAACTTACAACAAAAGACTTTAAAGTTATAGTTTTAGTAAAGCAAACTCATTTACATTTTTATTATGTGCGTCTTTTGTTTAACTCTTGCCATGTCCATTATGAGAGAGGCTTTTTCTTACGCAATAGACGCGCTTATTGGGACAGCTACTCTTTTTTTTTTTTTTTTTTTTTTTTTTTTTTTTTNTCTGTTTCAAAGCTATTGAAAACATCTGAATATACTCCCTTATGGTTGTCTAGATTTTACTGCCACACATTGAAAAAAATTAAGATGTAATGGATTGGGGAAGCTGGGGCAGAACTTTATCCTGTGGTATAATATTAAACAGATTGTACAATTTCAAAATATTAATCCAAAGGAGATAGGAGATTCCACATGCCTTGTTTCAAAATTACTATAGACATTAAAAATGCTTTTGAACTTAAGGTCATCGCAAGTGAATTATAACTTACTCTTTTTGCAGTAATTCCATTATTGCAATAAATAAGAACAAAATCTTCTCTCAAAAACAAAATCATTTCTTTTAATAGACTGATTTCTTTTAGAACTACACTTTCATTTAAGTTTAAGGATATGTGGAATTAAATTATTAAGATTTTTCCCCTGTAACAGTTTTAAAGAAAAAGAAGTGATTGAAAATTTTTGTAGTACATTATTAAGTCCTTTAAAACAAGCAACTTACTAATAAAATTACATATGGTATATACATGTGTGTGTGTAAGAGTTTGTATTTGTAATATTTAAAACATATTGTTAAATTTTGTACTAGGCTCAATTACAAATCTTCATGACTTTGATTCACCATTTCTTTTAAATTATTTGAGCCCAATTCATTCTTAACTAATGAGAACTAACAAACCTAGTAAGTAGTTAATATACAACACTGTTTTCTTAATAAAGGAAGAATCCCAGTCATTAATTTCTTGTCCCACATTGTTCAATTTGAGACCCTCACAGAATGTATTTATAGACTAAAAGGGTTTTTCTTTCTTTCTTTTTTTTTTTTTAAGAAAGAAAGAAACAAACAATACTGGCCTTAATAGGCTTAAGCATACTTTTCCTAACAGGGGCAGAATATGAACATCCACAGAGGATTACACGAGCACCCGATTCTCATAAACTAATGAAAAACTATTTGAATTAAACAGATGAAGTGTAAAATTTACAAGTGGTAGCAGCTAATACCTAACCACAGGTTCTAAGAATCTCTTTGTATGAAAGCAGGAGTCAAGGAAAACACATTAAATCTGGGGGTTTGTCCTCCACATATCAATCCACAGCCCCTTTTCTTCCGAGGTTAACCCTTAGCTCTGTCCCCACCATCTGTCAGCTGCGGGAACTGCAAGTAATTAACTATTCAGATGCCCACAGCAATGAGGACACTCATTAGCAAAATGAACAAAGGGATCGTTCTGAGCTGCTACGGTCCTGTTACACCCTGAGTGGCAGGTTTTGTGGTGGTGTTCCTTCTGCCATCTGCCCACACTGTTAGTTTTTGCTTGCTTAAACCAAGAGACTTAAAAAAAATAAATTGCACTAATAAAATGAGGTTAGGAAGGATGGCGACCAATTAAAAGGTGGTTAACTGGATGTAGCCATTTAAACCACACTGTAAGAGAGACTGTGTGTGAACCATGATCATTCTGGAATTTTTAAATTACAAAGAAACTTGCCAATCTCAAGTTTCTTTCACATTATAAAAACCAGGACTTCAGGTGGTGGCATATGTGCTGTATCTTTTGTGAATATTCATGAGATGCACAGAATTGCAAACTGAATCTCAGAAGAATCATTTTTGAAAACAGGTATACTTGGGAGCCTTGCTCCTCAAACGTGGTCCATAGACCAGGAGCCTCAGCATCACCTAGGAACTGATTGGAAATGCAGCCCCTCGGTTCCAACCCAGGGCTACGGTGTCAGAGTCTGCATCTAACAAGATCTGCAGGTGATTCATGTGAGCGGTAAAGTCTGAGAAGTCCTGGTTCAGAGCACTTTCTGTGCCTTCTCAGCAGTTTCCCTTCCACGGGCTCCACTGAATTGGACATCTCAATTTTCTGGGGAGGAGTAGAGTTCTGATGCAAGCCCATGCCTCATGACAGTCACAGAGAAGAGCAGGTGCTTTTCCAATGAGTGACAGCCAGGAAAGTGGCACTCTGGGAAGTGCAACCCTGCAGAGCTGCCACTCTTGAATGACATCTGTTTCAGAGCTGTCAGCAACAAGCAGATATGCTCAGCAATGGAAGGTAGGTGGGTGATGGTTACAGGGCTCATCAGGGTTGGGATAAGAAAAAAATGAAAAGTCTATTCAAAATGCCAGCTGCAATTGAAATTAAAACACATGCACAGGCACACACACACACACACACACACACACACACACACACACAGAGAGAGACAGAGAGAGACAGACAGACATAAAGGCTAACCTTCTTTATAAATTCTCAAGAGGATTAGCCAACGGACAGCATGGAAACCCAGTGACTACAATGGTATTCAGCTGAGTCACATTGATTTCCCACTGAATAAAACCTGAACATTTCATCCCTTGAATGAAGTTGCTCTTGGGAAAGTTCAACATTCAGGATGTTCCCATCTGGAGATGAGAAAGATTACAACTACTTATTAACTATGAAGCTATTGAAGTAATTTGATAATCACTAAGAGTAAACTAGATAACTTTAGATAAACTAAATAAAGCTTGTTTATTTCACTTTTTTTTTTTCAACTTACTTCCACTGCTACTTTGAAGTTTTTAATTGTTTCTCCAAATTCTGTGTTCCCAATCTAATTCCAGACTTGGTGTCCCAGGGGTTTTTAAAATACCACTAGAGGGGGCAGTTGAATTAGCTGAAATTTCAAATTAAAAAGATCATCTAGAACTTAGGTGGCATGTTCTTAGAAAAGCATGTTCTTAGAGAATGTAAAAAAAAAAAAAAAAAAAAAAAAAAAAAAAAAAAAAAAAAAAAAAAAAAAAAAAAAAAAAAAAAAAAAAAAAAAAAAAAAAAAAAGCGTGTTTCTTATTATTTGATATAAGCCATGATCTGCCTTTGTGGCATCCACGTCTGTGTTCTTGAAATGGACACACGTATGCTTTCCATCACCTTCAGTCAGGAGGGGAGAGCAGAGCCCTGCGTTTTGTTGGAATCCCTAGGAGAAATCCATACACCCCGTTAACCAGAATCACCTCACCTTCCTCAAATCTTAGATTGTTTACAGAAATTCGAATGTGCTCTTTGGGGGCTAATTACAGTGGAATAACCAGGGTATTCTGGATGCCATTATAAGCCAGAGGGCAGCCTGTTTACACATGAGCCTGTGTGGCTCCCACCTGCTGCCCTCTTCACAAAGCCACATCCCATCCTCATGCTTTCCCCAGAATGTCCAGCTGAGCCAGGTAACCACCTGAAGAGAACGATTAGAGGTATAAACATGTCAAGAGTGTAGGGAACTGTCTTACCCAATTGGGGTGCTCTCAACAGTCCGGAGGTCTGTTTGGTACATTTTATGGAATATAAACCTATGGTTATAAGTATTTCTGCATTTCCTTATAATAACTGAATTGATACACTAATATTTCTTCAAAGAACTCAAAGCAATTTACATTCAACACAGCCGGTGTTCTTATCATAACTCTCCACCTTAGCCAGGTGAGTATCATGTTGCATTTCACAAATGGCAAATAAATGCATCAAAATTGCCTTGCCACATCTACACTGGATGTCTCTGACCAAGGCAGGATTAAAAGCAAACTATTACAGCTTTTAGTCTTTTCTATTAAACTGTTTTCTCCAAAAAGTAAAAGTAATTGTAAACCCAAGAAAAGGTTTTTCAAAAGCAAACGCAAAAACTGTGCTTCCTAGTCCAAGACATATAAAAAAATTAATATTCAATTTTATTAGATTTATGCTATTGACACAACACTGTATTGCTTAGAAGGTGCTCAATTTTTTTTCTAGATATAAAGATTTCTAATAGGTTAACAAAGCAAACACTTAAACGAAGCAAACATTTAAACCAGTTTAAATATGATCCTATAGAATGGTTTGCATTTGATTCATTATCCCTTATAACCTTTAAGTCTTACATAAGAGTACTAGTGAGAGATTTAGATAAACCATAGATTGTATTCAAAGGCATCAGCAACCTATAAGTGTCTCTTTCTAGTGTTAACATTTTGGCATATAACTTTTCAGATTTTCCTGTATGCATGTGTCAATATTTCTATGTGTATTAATCTATTAATAATTATTAATGTATATTACATTATAATATGTTATAACATAATCTATGCATTATAATCTATACATTTTCTATATGCATATGTACTGTATGAATTTTCCTGTAGTGAATATGTTACATATTCACTACAAACTTTAATTTTTACTGTACAGGATAAAGCTCCCCCTCTGTAAGTGGACTTTAGATTCAGGTGAGCCTTGGTTCACAGACCATCTTTACCACCTACTACCTATGTGCCCATGGGGAAGTTTCTTAACCACCCCATCTCTGCTTTTTCATCTGTAAACTGAGCTGTGAGAATGAGAAGAGATGCCATCGATGAAGCATCTGATACCTGCTATTGGTAATCAATAGACTTTATTCTTCCTGGGTCCCAACAGCTGTTAGCCTTTCCAAATCGAAACAACCAGCTTCTTGCTCTTAGAACTTAATAACAAAATCCTCTCCAGCTCTGAACCATGGCTGGGCCTGAGACAGCTGGGGGCTTGGAGCAGAGATGAGATGAAGATGAATTCGCTCTCAGGATCCCCACTTTCCAAAGCCCTTAAACTTCCTCCTTGACGAGTTTAGGTCCTTCTTTCTGCCTCCTCACTCATTCCATTTTTGTTCCCATCAGTAGTTTGTCCAACAGTAAAGCAGTCCTTGGCTCCCACTGCAACAGAGAGCCCTGAGGGGAAAATCCTCTGAGATTTTTCTTCTTGATAGTTTTATTTAAATGTTATTCCATTCCAAGTTAGCTTCTTGGAAGCTCTGGCTTGGAAAGATTAGCTTTGTGTCTTTCAAACTACCTTGACTGCAAAGAAGGGTGGGAATCTTTGGTTATAATAAAAGTCCATTCCCATGCTCTTCTAGAGTAGGACATTTTTTGCAGTGGGAGGTAGGTTATTTTATTTCCATTATAAATAAAAATTAAGAACCATTATATTGCTCCTATTCATGTTGTTATGGGTTTTCCAGAATAGACCATTGAGCAGAAAATAGACTGGCTTATATTATGGAGAGATGCCCAAATGCATCAATTGGATTTAATTTATCCTTAACCCAAGCTCTTAACTATGACTTTATTTACATATATTAAAATTAATTATTCCTTGCCTTGAAACTTACCATTTTATGAAATCTAAAATCTTCATATTGGTCTAGTTCTTCTTTTAATTCTTTAATAATGTCTTCTTTCTCTTTCAGTTTTCTTAACAAAATATTTGTTTTGACACTACTCACATCTTGCAAAGAAAGCTTCTCTTCTTCTACCTCAAAGAATTGCTGTGGACAAAAAAAAGCATCATTAAAAATTAATTAGACACTAGACATTAAAAATCAGGCATTAACACTAAATTAAAGACCCAGCAAAAATTAGACACCAATAGAAAACATTTCATCTTTTAAGCTACTGTTTTGTGAAGTTATGTTATTTTTATAACTTGCATACAATTTTAATAAGCAACTTTTTATTGAAATACATGCTAAAAAGTATCATGCACTATATAGCACGTATTATCCTATAAAACACAAAGCATGATCAGTTGCTCTAACTATCAGCCATGCAAACTACAATAGTAAAGAGCAAGATGGAAGAATAGAACTTCCACTCAACAAGAATTGGGCTGCCATCCATGGACAAAAGTGCCCTTGGGGGAGATTTGGGCCCTGGATAGAAGATTCCAAAGCCCTGGTGGAGCCCGAGACTGAAGAGGGCTGTTTTGAGTGGTAGGCTGCACCTAGGTGGCAGGCTCACTGACCACAGTCCCAGCTACAGACCCAGAAATGGCCTCATCCTCCTGTGAACTTGGCTACAACTCTGTTTGGGCTTGGTCCTGCCCCGATAACCATCTGCCAAGAAATCCGGAAGGAATCACGTTAACCTGTGCTTCTGGTGACAGGCCCATGGGCCTTAGTCTCAGGTGTGGACCATGAATCAGCTCTGTAACTCAACTAAACCCACTCTCAGCTGCAGTTTGAGACCAGGCCTGCTTGCCCAGGCACCTGCTGGGAGTCATGCCTATTTGTGCCCTCAGAAACAAGTCAGCTGACCTCAGTCTCATAGCAGATCTTGAAATAGTCCTTTAACTTGGCCCCATCCCTTCTCAGCTGCAGTCTGAGAGCAGTCTTGCCCACCCAGGGGCTTGCTGAAAGCTATGCCTGTCAGTGCCCCAAAGGCAGGCCCACCAATCTCGATTCCACTGCAGATCTTAGGGTGGCCCTGCAACCTAGCTCTGTCCCTTCCTAGCCTTGGTTTAGAAGCCGTCCTGTCCACCCAGAGATCTGCCAGGAAAAAGCCCATCAATGCAGGCTGCTGACCTCAGTCTGATGGAGAAGCACCAAGTAGCCCTTTGACCCAGTTCCAGCTCACTCAGCCATGGTCGAAGAGCAGTCCTGCTTGCCCAGGAGTCCAGCAGGAGGCCTGCCTGTCTGTCTTTGGAGGCATGTCTGCAGATCCCAGTCTCAGTGTAAGCCATGAAGCAGCCCTGTAATTCCATTCAAGCCCCTGTCAGCCACGGTCCATGGCCAATTCTCCTTGCCCAGGGACCAACTCAGTAGCCCAGCAGGAACACTCCAAGGGACCTGAAGGAATACCCACTCATCTGTGTACCTGGTAACAGGCCCACCATCTGCCAACCCAAATGTGAAGCCTGAAGCATATTCTTTACCCAGCACCAACTCTACAGACCAAGGTCCTGGAAGCAGTTTGTTCTTTCCAGGGGCCAGACAGGATCCAAGCCTGCTCAAGTCCTTAGTAATAGCCCACTAACGTGTTCCCCACTGTAGACCCAGCAGCAGCCACCTAACTTGGCTGCATCCCTACTCAACTGCAATCCTGGAGGCAATCCTAGCAGCTCAGAGACCCCCCCAAAAATTCTTTACCTACCAAAACCAGTCCGTAATGACTGGAGGAGGTGTTTGCTCATCCAAATGCAAAAACATCAACACAAGGCTATACAGATAGTGAAGAATCAGACATCTTACTTCTAGCATTTAAAAATCTCATTTTCAACACTGATATGCAAAGCTTACAGTTTAGTTTGGACTTTTTGAAATTATAAAGAAACTATTTGACTTTTTTTGTGTGTTTGCGACTAATATATTTGGGTACATGCAACATACAGGAAATATAGCAAAACTTAGTAATATCTGCTAATATATTTAATGTTATATTTCAAAAGAGTTAGATTTGTAAACTAATATTGTCCTAATATGATGAATACCAGTAGACTAAGAAGAATAATGTATGAAGGTGGCTATGAATAGCACTGGCATGGTCTACAAAGAATAAAAAAATCATATATGAATATACAGTCAAATTAAAGAGTGAAAAGAGAATACTCATAAGACAATATTAGCTTTTAAAATTTTGTAATTTTATTTTATTTAGGTTTATTGTGTGTGTGTGTTTGTGTGTGTGTGTATGAGAGAAGAGAGAGAAAGAAAGAGAGAGATAAGGTCTCACTCACTCTATCACACAGGCTGGAGTTCAGGGGTGTAATCGGCTCATTGCAACTGCTGCTTCCTGGGCTCAAGCAATCCTCCCACTTCTGCCTCCACCTCTGCCTCCCAAGTATCTGGGACTACAGGCACATAACACCACACCCAGCTAATTTGTGTATTTTTTGTAGAGACGGGGTTTTGCCATGTTGCCCAGGGTGGTCTCGAACTCCTGAGCTCAAGGGATCAGCCTGCCTCAGCCTCCCAAAGTCCTAAGACTACAGGACCACCGCTTCTGACCTTAAATTTTGTGATTTTAAATAAGAGTACTGATTATGTAGATCTGGTCTTTACAACCATTCTTATGTATGTCTACAGCAAACACTCTGCTAAGGTCAACACACATTTATTCTACCAGTGCCCTTAAGTGTTACTAGACATCATATATCCAACAGAGTTGGACATCTTCCAAACAGAGTTCAACATCTTCACTGTCAACCTTTCTGTGTCCCCTAATTAACAGCAGTGTAAGCTGAAAACCCATTTTAAGCTCCTTCTTCTCCTTCATCAACTAACCAGATTTGTCCAACCTACCCCTAAATCTCTACCAAACTCCATCACCTTTTTTCCTGTTCCACCACAATCTTAGTCCTTGCCTTGTTCACCTGGATATTGTAAAAGCTTCTTAACTAGCCTCCCTGGCTCTTGTTTTGTCACCTCCCTCCAATCTTCATCCAGTAGCCAAATGACCTTTCTAAAATACCACTCTCCCTATCTCCTCCTACAGGCTAACACCCCTTAGCATGGTATACAAAATGGCAGCCTTCATAATCTGCTGCCAGCTTACCTGGCCAACAACTCATGCCAGTCTTCTCTCCTCTTCCTTCACCCAAACTGGGCATTTTATCACTACTGATACACTCAGCATGCAACTTCTCAGAAACACCACGTAGCCACAGTCTCTGTGTCTCTGCACTTGGAGTACTCCCTTAACCCACCCAACAAGCTCTTGCTTGTCATTCTAGCAGAATGGTGTTAGACTGGGATAGCCTGAGTCTGCAGACCAGTTCTGTCGGCTTGGCACCTTGAACAAGTTTCTTAAATCCCAAGTGTCTCATTGTTTTCATCTGTAAAATGGGACTATGAATAAAAGTACCTGAATTGTGAGAATTAAGTAAGTTAATACATGTAAACAATTTTGGACAGTGCCTACAACATAGCCCCCAGTAAGTATTATATCCTAACATTTAGTCCTGTTGTGGCTGTTTGTCATTCAAATCCAGATGCCACCTGCTCTGGCAGCCTTAGCATCCCCTCTCCCACCCACTCACCTTCCACGTCTGTGTCCTTTCTCTATCTTGTAAATACTCTTCTTGGGGTCACTTTATTATTTGCATATTTTCTAACTCACTTTTATGTTCTAGATATGTTGGGTTTATTTTACTCTTAAAAAAGAAACCTGCACTTGTATGCTTATTGAAACACCATTCACAATGGCAAAGTCATGAACCAACCTAACTGTCCATCAATGGTTGATTGTTTAAATAAAATGTAATATATTAATACATACACCACAGAATTTTATGCAGTGATTAAAAAGAATGAAATCGTGTCCTTTGCAGTAACATAGATGGAGCTGGAGGCTATTATCCTGAGCGAATTAATGCAGGAACAGAAAACTAAATACTGCATGTTCTCACTTCTAAGTGGGAGCTAAACAACGGTTACACATGAATATATGGATGAAAATAATACACACTGGGGGATCCAAAAGGGAAAAGGGTGGCAGGGAGACTAGGGCTGAAATATTACCTATTGAATACGTTCAATATTTGGGGAGCGGGTATACTAGAAGTCCAATCCTCACCATTACGCCATATATCCATATAACAAACACGCATGTATACCCTCTGAATCTAAAACACAAGTTTTAAAAATGCCAAAAAATGAAGATTGTATGACAACGCAGAGAACAATGCATTAAAAAATAATAAGAAAGTGTGCAGGCTGTTTAGGAATGAAGCTCTGAATGGCCAAGTCATCTTTGCCAGAGCAAGACAGAGAAGCACCCTGGGAAACTCATTTAAAATCTCACACAGGTACCATGCTGAGAGGTGCTTGGGCCAGCCTGCCTTCTAGATGAGCTCAGCCACTCTGGACTTCAGGGCAGGGAGGGCCACAATTCTTTCAAAGAACAAAAAAGTCTTACTTTTGACTTTTCATAAAATAGTCGTAAGGTCCAAATATAATGGATTCATTTTTCTTAATTCCTGGAACGCTTCTGATGTCTCACTAGTGTTTATGGAATGACTTGGGCTTTGAGAGATCAGCAGAAAGCAGTGTGATTTTTCTTCACTGCCCCTGCAAATCTGGTCACTAGTCTCATGGTTCTCACCTTTTAGAACTTTCAGGAGATACCATGGCTTTATTTTGTTAATTTAGTAACAACAACTTTAATCTTAGACGATGACAACAAAATAAAAGAAGGAAAATGAGAAGAAAGCAAAAACCAAAACCCAAACCAAAAATTCTAGTCTAGCCACCTCTTACCCATTAATGCTTCTGTCCTCCCACCACTCTGGCCCACCTTAGACGTGGCAGTCTGCAGTGGAGGAGAAGGGTTGAGCCTCTCTTCCTTTTATTTCTCCAATTTGAGAGTCTCCAATGGTCTGGAGCAAAGGAGAGGGAGAAACATTAAAGGAACAGAAACAAGTGTCAGTTGACAGTAACCTGCTGCCCTTGGTTCCCAGGAGGGTCCGTGCTGGCCTGGCTTCCTGCAGTATCCTCCACAGTAGCAGTGCCTCCCTGGCTTCTGTCCCAGGACCTGCCCTTCTGATGGCATC